GTTTTCATGTAAACCCTGTGCAGTAGACATTGAATACAAAAGCCTGAGGGAGTCCTCTGAGGAAGAGCTGCAGGGTGAGCCACTGGCAGAGCAAAGCAGGGGAGAGGCTCCCAGAAAGGGTCCAAAGGGACAGGGTAGAGCACTGACAGAGCTGGATGGGCCAAGAGCACCTCTCCCACAATGGCCCTTGATGAATCAGCTAATGCAGTCGTATGAAAGCCCAGCCCTGCACTGCAGAGGCTAGGATAAACTCCCCTGTGTACCTCACACTCCAGAGGCCCTAGGGGAAGTAGGAGGGTGGGCAGGAAAGGTCAGGTAAGTCACCTGGGCAGAACTTTGCTTGAAAACACAGCCCTGCTTGGCTGCTATTCCTTCATTGTTCCTCCTCACTTCCTTACAGGTTTTCCTGGGAATACATCCTTAATAAATCACTTGTCCATGAATTCCTGGCTCAGCATCTATATCAGGAGAACTCAATGAAGACAATCCTACTTGGTAATGATTTATATATAAATATACTATATATTGAATAAGGAGCTCTGGTAGCATAGTGCCTAAGGCACTTGACTGCTAACCAGAAGGCTGGCGGTTCAAACTCACCAGCCACTCCTCAGAAGGAAGGTTGGGCAATCTACTTCCGTAGTGATACTGCCTCAGCAACCCAAGGAGGGGTCATTATGAGTTGGAGCTAACTTGACGGCACACAACAACACATATTGAATAAGGAGCTCTGGTGGCATAGTGCCTAAGGCAATTGACTGCTAACCAGAAGGCTGGCAGTTCAACTCACCAGCTGCTCTACGGAAGGAAGACTGGGCAATCTACTTCTGTAGAGATTTATGCCTGAGAAACCCAAAGGGGGTCGCTAATGAGTCTGAATCGATTTGATGGCAGTGAGTTTGGTTTTATACATTGAATGGATATATGTATATACATGTATAAATATACACACACATATTATTATACTGACTGTATTTTGATCATGTATTATTTAGGATTTTACACATATGATTGTGTCATACTGGTATAAAATGAGCTATAACAGGTACAATTTTAATACCAAAACAATCAGTTTCCAATATTTCTGTTGAAAGAGATCAATAAAGTTCTCTCTCAAGAGATAATCCACCTTAGTAATTTTCTTCTTTTTATATTATTTCAAATTCAGTTAATATCTCAGGCTCCAACATACATCAGCCAGAACTATGTTCAAATTCCAGATCCATCACTCACTGGCTCTGTGTACTTAAGTTTGTAAACTCTAAAACCTGAGTTTCATTATCTGTAGAATGAGGAAAATAATAATAAACATTCCTTATAATGTTACTGTGAGGACTGAGAATTCAGACAAAACCATAGCATGGTGCCTAGTATGTGGTAAGGATTCAACAAATATCTGCTAGCATTGTTAGAAAAGAAGCCCTGGTGGCACAGTTGTTAAGTGCTTGGCTGGGTTTGAAACCATCACCCACTCTGTGGGACACAGATGTAGCAGACTGCTTCCATAAAGATTACACCCTTGGAAACTCTACGGGGCAGTTCTACTCTGTCCTATAGGGTCACCATGAGTTGGAACTGATTCTATGGCAGGGGGTTTGGTATTGTTTTAGTTCAGTATTGTTAGATTTAAATTACTTTATAGTGCACTCACCATCACTTATTTATCAGTTTGTCATACTGTGGTGGCTTGTTGTGGTGCTGTAATACTAGAAGCCATGCCAGCAGTATTTCAAATACCAGCAGGATCACCAATGGTGGTCAGGTTTCAGCAGAACTTCCAGATCAAGACAGACTAGAATGAAGGATGTGGCAAACTACTTCTAAAAATATTGGCCAGTGCAACCATTATGAATAGTAGCAGAAGACTGTCCAATATAATAACAAAGATGAGCTCCTCAGGTTGGAAAGCACTCAAAATATGACTAGTGAAGAGCTGCTTCCTTAAAGTAGAGTCAACTTTAATGAGTGGACAGAATAAAGCTTTCGGGACTTTCCTTTGCTGACGTGACATGACTCCAAATTAGAAGAAAGAGCTGCACACATCCATTAATAACTGGAACATGGAACACACAAAGTATGACTCAAGGAAAACTGGAAGCTGTCAAAATTGAAATGGAATGCTTGAAGATAGATATCCTAGACAACAGTGAGCTGAAGTGTACTGGTACTGGGCATTTTAAATAGGATAATTATACAGCCTACTATGCTGGTAATGATAAATTGAAGGACAGTCACATTTATTGTCAAAAAGAACATTTCAAAATCTCTTCTGAAGTACAATGGTGTCAGTGATAGGATAGTATCAATGGATCTACAAGGAAGACTAGGTAATGTGACTATTACTCAACTTTACAAACCAACCACTAACATAAAAGATGAAGAAATTTAAGATTTTTATCAAGTTCTGCAGTTTGAAATTGATCAAATGTGCAATCAAGATGCATTGATAATCACTGGTGATAGGAATGTGCAAGGTCGAAACAAAGAAGGATCAGTTGTTGGAAAATATGGCCTTGGTGATAAAGATGATGCTGGAGATCACCTGATAGACTTTTGCAAGACCAATGAGATGATGGAGATGCTCAATATCATCAGTCAGAATAAGGCCAAGGGCTGACTGCATAACAGACCAACAAATGCTCATATGCAAGTTCAAGTTGAAGGTGAAGCAAATTAAAACAAGTCCATGAGAGTATGACCGTAAGTATATCCTACCTGAATTAGAGACCATCTAAAGAATAGATTTTATGCACTGAACACTAATGACTGAAGACCAGAAAAGTTGTGGGATGACACTGAGGATATCATACATCAAGAAAGTAAAATGCCATAAAAAAGGGGAAAAAGAAAAGGACCAAACTGGACATCTGAAGGGACTCTGAAACTTGCTGTTGAACACAGAGTAGCTAAAGTGAATGGAGGAAATGATGAAATAAAACAGCTAAAAAGAGGATTTCAAAGGACAGCTCAAGGAGACAAAGTAAAGTATTAAAACGAAATGTGCCAAGACCTGGAGTTAGGAAACCAAAAAGGAAAAACACACTTGGTACTTCTCAAGCTGAAAGAAACAGAAAAAATTTAAGCCTTGAGTTGCAATATTGAAGGATTCTATGGGCAAACTACTGAATGATACAGGATGCATCAAAAGGAGTAGAGAGTCACTGAACCAAAAAGAACTGGTCAAAATTCAACCACTTCAGGAGGCAGCATATGATCGAGAATTGATGGTACCGAAGGAAGAAGTCCAAACTGAAGGCATTGGTGAAAAATAAGTCTCCAGGAATTGATGGAGTATCAATTGACATGTTTTAACAAATGGATGCAATGTTGGAAGCATTCACTCATCTATGCCAAGAAATCTGGAAGACAGCTCCTGGCCTACCTTCTGGAAGAGATTCATATTTGTACCCATTCCAAAGAAGGGTGAGCCAACAGGATGCGGAAATTATCAAACAATACCATTAATATCATATGCAAATAAAATTTTGCTGAAGATAATTTAAAAAGGGCTGCAGCATCAGAGATAGACAAGTACTATATTAGTCTGTTATTGTAAAAAGTAAGGCAAGGTATATATATTTTTTTGTTGGTTACCAGGAGTGGAAGGGGAGGGGAGGGAACACTGTTAGGTATTAAAATTTAAATTGAAAAAAAAAAAAAAAAAAGGCTACAGCAGTATATTCACAAGGAACTGCCAGAAATTCAAGCTGGATTCAGAAGGAGACATGGAACAAGGGACATCACTGCTGATGTCAGATGGATTTTGGCTGAAAGCAAGGAATACCAGAAATATGTTTATCTGTGTTTTATTGACTATGCAAAGGCATTTGACTGTGTGGATCACAACAAATTATGGATAATATTGCAAAGAATGGGAATGCCAGAACACTTAATTGTACTCATGGGGATACTGTAACAAAACAAGGGGATACTGCACGTTTAAAATCAGGAAAGGTGTGTGTCAAGGTTGTACCTTTCATCATACTTATTTAATCTGTATGCTGAGCAAATAATCCAAGAAGCTAGACTATATGAAGAAGAACATGGCATAAGAATTGGAGGAAGACTCATTAACAACCTGCAATACGCAGATGACACAACCCCTTGCCTGCTGAAAGTGAAGAGGACTTGAAGCAGTTATTGATAAAGATCAAAGACTACAGCCTTCAGTATGGATTACATCTCAGTATAAAACAAAAATCCTCACTGGTACATCAATAAGCAATGTCATGATAAACAGAGACAAAATTAAAGTTGTCAAGGATTTCATTTTATGTGGATCCACAGCCAATGACCATGGAAGCAGCTGTCTAGAAATCAGAAGTACTGCATTGGTGAAATCTGCTGCAAAAGATTTATTTAAAGTGTTAAAAAGTGAAGATGTCACTTTGAAGACTAAGGTGTGCCAGACCCAAGTCATGGTCTTTTCAACAGCCTCATACACAAATGAAAGCTGGACAATGAATGAGGAAAACCAAAGAAGAATTGATGTCTTTGAATTATGGTGTTTGTGAGAAATACTGAATGTACAATGGACTGCCAGAAGAACAAACAAATTGTCATGGAAAAAATACAGCCAAAATGCTCCTCAGAAGCTAGGATGGCGAGATTTTGTCTCATGTATTTTAGACATGTTATCCATGAGGGACCAGTCTCTGGTGAAGGACATCATGCTTGGTAAAGTAGAGGGTCACTAAAAAAGAGGAAGACCCTCAATGAAATAGGCAGATACAATCACTGCAACAATAGGCTCAAACATACCAACAATAGTGAGGATGGTGTAGGACCAGCCAGTGTTTTGTTCTGTTGTTCTTAGTATTGCTATGAGTCCGAACTGACTTCACAGGTCTACTTCCATAGTAATACTGCCTCGGAAACCCAAGGAGGGGTCGTTATGAGTCGGGTCTGACTCAGTGGCACATAACAACAACAACAACAACAACAACAACGGAGTAGCCAACAATTTTATATACAAATTCATGAAAATTGAATATACTCACTTGCAATGTTGTATCAAAGACAACAAGCTTTGAACTGGTTGGAACGATGTCATAACACTTGTGTGACCTCATGAATCGCATGTAAACGCCACTTTCAGAGTCTTCTACTGCTAAAAGAGGGGGGAAGAAAAGGCAGAATATTATTAATAATAAAGAAGTTCCTTGACCTGATAAAGAGTTTGCACAAAAAATCTACTGTGAAGATCTTACTTAATGGTGAAGGATAAATGTTTTCTTCATAAAACTGACAACAAGGCAGAGTCTACTCTAACCAATTCTATTCAATACTCTACTGGAGGTCATGGTCAGTGTAATAAGGCGAAGGAAAAAAAATGAAAGGCAAACTGATTGGGAAGCAATAAACAAACGGCCTTTATTGACATATGGTACAATTTTCCATAGAGAAAATACCAAAGAATCTATAAAACAAGTCCTATCTAAAAAATGAGTTTAGCAAGGTCACAAGATACAATATTATATAAAATATTCTACTGTATTTTTATAGATTGGGAGCTCTGGTAGTGTAGTGCCTAAGGCACTTGACTGCTAACCAGAAGGCTGGTGGTTCAAACCCACCAGCCACTCCTCGGAAGGAAGATGGGGCAATCAATCTACTTCCGTAGTGATACTGCCTCGGTAACCCAAGGCAGGGTCGCTATGAGTCGGGTCCGACTCGACGGCACATAACAACATCAACAGCAACATTTTTATAGATTAGCCATGAATAATTAGAAATTATTACTTCAAAGATACCATTTATAATAGCATAAAATAGGAATAAATATAACAATATATATATAAATTTTCTACATTGAAAACGGTAAAATATTGGTAACAGAAACCAAAGACCCAAATAAATAGAAAAATATACTGCGTTCATAGATTGGAAGATTTAATTTTGTTAAGGAGTTTTCTATGTTCATGAGGGATATTGGGTCTGTTGTTTTATTATGCCTTTGGTTCTGGTATCAAAATAATATTGATCTCATAGAATACACTAGGTAGTCTTTATGAGAGTTTGTACAGAATTGGCATTACTTCTTCCTTAAATATCTGGTAGATTTCACTAATGAAGCCATCTGGGCCTGTGGCTTGGAACTTGAATGACAACTTCTTTGAACAGCCAGAATCTATTTACTCAGTGAGTATTTATTCCCTTGTCTTAATGTCATCCCACAGTCGAGCTATGGACAGCGAGGCAAAAGTCAAAAAGGGTGTGCCAGTAAGCAGGTATCAGTGTTCTGCAGCTTGGTGGAAACTACTGTGCCCTTTGAGAGACCTCAGTGTTGCACAGACCTCAGCAGTGGCTCCTAATAAGGCCCAGAAAGCCGTGGTAATCACCCATTCACTATGGCTCCTTTTTGGTCAAGGGTCATTATTGGGGCATTAACTCTAACATTTCTGCCCTGCTGCGTAAGAATGCTCGTTTCTCTCAGAAAGGAAGGGGGTTGTTGAAACATGAGGGCTTGGATAAGAGGATGCAGTAGAAAACTGACAACCATCTGCTATAAATACCTTCCACTGTGCCAGATGCTAGGGAAGTGGCAGGGAAAAGACAAAAATGATTCCTTCCTTGCAGACACAACGAACTTGTGGAGGAGAAAGACAGTAAATTTTATTATATTGCTGTAAATACCACCAAAGGAGAAGTATGGAGTTTATATACAAGAATAATTGGTTGTCAATAAATGAATGAATGTATGACTGAAATGTCAGGCAGTACGGTTCCTTCTTTCTTGAAACACTTACCTATTAGAAAATATGCGGGGGTAGGGGTGGGATGGGGGGTGGGGGTGATGGTTTCTGAGGGCAGAACAAGGAGCCCTGGTGGTTCAGTGGTTAAAGTGGTTGGTTGCTAACCGAAAGGTCAGCAGTTCGAACTTACCAGCTGCTCTGTGGGAGAAAGATGTGAGAATATGCTTCCAAAAAGATGAACAGCATTGGAAACTCTTTGGGGGCAGTTCTACTCTGTCCTATAGGGTTGCTATGAATTGGAACTGACTTGCTGGGTTTGGTACAGCGGAACAGAAACACAGAAAACTCTTATAATCCAGTACTGAAATCCATCTCTGCTATCATTGCTCTCTCATTGGTAAAGACAATGTATATCGTGCCATGAAACCTGTAGTTTCTTGGTAATCTATTCAAAGAAATTTCAAAAATCACTTTAGTCAAACTAATATTTAAGTTACAAATTACCTGCCAAGTCTATATACCTAAAACTCAAATGAATAAAATCAAGAGGGAGATAAATGACAAAAATGTAACAGCCCATCTCTCAGAAAGGAAATCTTAAGAGAATTTTTTGCTCATTATCTAAATCAAAACTTTTCACAAAAGTATACATATTATAAATGCTAATTTTACCACATAAATATCTGAAATACAAATTTAAAATATTACAAAGTAGAAATGTTCACTTTTAGAATTTAAAAACTCTACAAGTTTTGTGTTAAATATATTTTTAGTGTACAATCTTAAATTCTTCCATTGGTTATTAAAAATACTTGAACACTTTATTGTATAATAGTTTAGATTTATGTGAAAATTATAATACAGAGTTCCTATATATAATACTAATATATTACTGTGGTATATTTGTCACAACTAATTAACCACCAATTATACATTACTATTAAGTCTGTGGGAGCTCTGGTAGCATAGTGGCTAAGGCACTTGACTGCTAACCAGAAGGCTGGAGGTTCAAACCCACCAGCCACTCCTCGGAAGGAAGGTTGGGCAATCCTACTTCCGTAGTGATACTGCCTCGGAAACCCAAGGAGGGGTCGCTATGAGTCAGGGCTGACTCGACGGCACATAACAACAACAACAAAAAACTAAGTCTGTAGCTTAATAATAAAGTACCATAATATAGCTAAAGTCTTTAGCTTATTAGGATTTCCTTAGTTCTTACTTCTTGTTTTTTTTGTTCCGAATCTAGGATACCACATTACACTTAGTAGCATGTGGCCTTAGGATCCTCTTTGTGATGACAGTTTCTCAGATTCTCGTTTTGATGACCCTGATAGTTCTGAGAAGTACTGGTCAGATATTTTGTAGACTATCCCTCTACTTGGGTCTGTCTGATGTTTTCTCATGATTAGATTGCACTTGTGGATTTGAGGAGGAAGATCACAGAGAGGTAAAGTGCCCTGCTCATCACTTCATATCAAGGGTACCTGCCATCAAAATGACTTCTCACTTGTGATACTAACCTTGAGCACTTGGCTGAGTTTGTAAACTTAACACTTTTTCTTCCCTTTTAATACTGATTTTTCAGAGCAAAGTCATTATGCAAAGCCCACACTTACAGAGTGGAAAGGCATATAAGTTACTGGGAATTTTTCCGTACAGGAGAACTGTCTACTTACTTATTCAATCATTTATTTATACCAGTATAGACTCATATATTTATTTTTTACTCTGGGTTATAATCCAATGCCAATCTGTTTTATTGCTTCCATTGTTCCAGCTCTGGCCAGTGGGAGCCTCTTCAGTTGGCTCCTGTGTTCCTTTGACATTCGCTGCTGATCTTTTAACTACATTTTTTTTTTTAAAGTGTCATTTATTTATTTATTATTATTTTTTTTTCTTTTATTAGGATTTGGGTGAAGATTTACAGAGTAAATTCACTTTTCATACAGCAGTTCAC